CTGCTGAATGAGTCAAGTTAAAGCGTGCTCTTCCACATTTTTAGAATAGCAGGATGTTAACACATTGTGCTGATGCTGTTTTAATGCAGATTCATTGTGATTGCGGGCATTTTTGAAATCAGAAATCCTACCTGAAAACGACCTCTGTTTCATGTTACCTGAATGTTTTTCTAACAATACAAATGAGATTTAATTCTATTGTCATTCTTGATTAGTTTGGAGTCAGAGGGACCTCAGGGCTACAGCTTCGTTACCTGCACTTAGTGTTTGGTGTTGATGGGAGAAGGGGGGCGGGGGGGGTGTTACTTTACCGAGATGCTATCAGATGACGGAGTATTTACCTCCATTTGTGTTTTCTGTAAATAAAGAGTTTGCTTTTACTAAATGCTGTGACCACTAATGACTTCAACAGCTATTGTCCTCCAGTAGCCTTTCATGGTGTCATGGATCTCTTTTAGCTTAGAAAGCATACAAAAATTACAGAGTAGCTCTGATACAGTCATTTGAATATGAAACTTTCATTTCAGATCATTCTCTGCTTCTAATTACAAGATGAATCTGTCATCTACTCTGGTGTGTTTTGAATAACGTCACATCTCTGAAATATGACACCTAATCTGCAGCCTACGGGAACGCCATGCCTAAAGGAAACCACTAAGAGAAGCCTCAACTGTGTTAAGCTGGACATCTTATCTACAACACATCTCCAGGGCTGCTTAAAAAGTCTGCAATTATAGGTTGCCACAAAGAAAGAGATAATGAGTTAAGCTTGGCTGCTGGAACAGCACAGGCTTATTTTAAAGGTTACAGTTTACGTCAAACATCATTCTAGCGCTTCACCCCCTTCAGTCCATAACTTAAGAATGTTTTGGTTAAAATTTTTCTCTGTGAGGTTTAAAAGACAATTTAGAGCATGTTAGTGTTGCAGAACAACAGGGCTTTAGGATGAAACTCCCCAGCTTCTGCTGTAATGTTGTAAAAAGAAAATGATCAGAAAAACGTTTGTTTTCGCAAGGACAAGGATTTTTGTCTTTGACATGACTCAAACAGAATACACAGAATAAAACTTAGTTTACACATAATGTTAAAAGCTAATTTCAGTTGGGAACAAAATGTTATTGTACCCTTGCCTTTGCAGTTTTGGGGCAGTGGGATATATTACTATAAAAACATAATGTTTACAGTTCTCAACACTACCACCAGGCACAAAAAAGTGAGTCACAACTGTATTTAGGTAAACTCATTTTCAAATTACTTTTCAAACTCATTATGATTGTGTTTTCTTGAAATATGTCAATATTATTGTTGCGCTACTTTTTTCCATTGTCATCTTGGATTAGCAACATACTGTTACACCTTCAAGAAGCTGCTCATTGAGAAGCTTTTAGTACCAAGAAACGTGACCTCTGTCGTGTTGGGGACAATATTATCGGGGACAGCAACAAATGCAATGTGATACCTCCACAGCAAGCCATGTGATGTAATTTCCTCTGGGTGTTCAATTTGGCAGGGTTGTGGGAGATTAAAGGTTCTTCCGATGTGCTTCCTCTCCCTCTGAAGAAGCACCCGTGTTCCCCTTCTAATTTGCCTCCCCCTGCCATTTGCTTTGTGCACAGATTGAGGCCTTTGAAGTGGTGAAGCTATCCTGCACATAGTGTATATCTTCGTGTTAGTGTGTGTGTGTGTGTGTGTGTGTGTGTGTGTGTGTGCACTCACTTTGGTGTTGTGCACACAAAGGCACCAGCACTGAAGTCATAATACAAAATATAAGAGATCAACAAAAGGTAGGTTTCCTGCCGTCCCCATTCCCATGTAACACAATGCAGGTGAACAATGGAAGCAGGCTCAGTCACTGTTATTATCCACCGAGATTCCCTGTGCTTCAGTTACATGAGCTCTGCACACATCCCTCCAGTGAATCCACTGAAGAGGTAACCTCGGGTTTATCTGGTTGACCGTCAGTATAAAGTTGCATATGAAGGGGTTATATTTCCAAATGTTACTGTATATATGTTTTTGTTTTTGTTTTGCATTTGTGAATACAATTCACCACGTTGAACACGAGGTATGACAGCCAATATCTGAAAAATCCCAGATTACTCTGAGGATTTACCATATTCCAGGCTGATAAAGCACTTGCTAAAATGGCATGCCAATTTATTTTCCACTTTTTCATGTGCTGAGTTTGTCTCTTTGTATCTTTGTAACCAAACCTTTATTTCTCAACTGGCCTTAGAGATAATGGACAAATTTTTGGCTAAATAAATAGGGTGACTGAGTGATATTCACACATCAGCACAGACCTAGCACTGAGATCAGCAGCTCCAATAACCGTGGATATTAGTGTATTTATGAATGTAAACTTTGAATATCAATCATTTTTTAACAAAAGACTAAAACAAACTTCCAAAATTACACTTCACAATTTCTTCTCCTCCCCCTTGAAGTTGTTCTTTTAGCATCCTCTTGCGTGCTGAGGAAGAGGCTGTTAGCAGGAGCTTGGCTCGTTCAGTCTGCTGACAGATGTTAAAACGTTCCCTGATCTGATAGCAGCTGAGTCTTTGATTAGTTAAACAAAACAATGGCTCTGCAAAGAGGGGAAATCACAACACGGAGCCACAGAAAGAAAGAGAGCAGATATTGATATAAAGGTCTGATTACGGCATCATGCAACAACGTGGGGTCCAAACACAAATATGGCACATTCCTTATCCTGAATGTGCCACTGAGTGCATTTGAATGTGGAGTTACTGTTTCTGTATGTTTCAGTACAGTGTGTTTATATGCATGCATTTATTTGGTTGTGTGTGTTTATTCTAATGTTGGAAACATTTAACTTTAACCCCACACAGTTGCAACAGTACAGAATACAGTCTCATAGCTTCAGTCTTATATCAGAACTTTTTTGAATTAGTTGTTTACAAATACTGTACCTTAGTAAACATTTAAGAATAGTTGTATATCTGCCTACAACTACAATATAGTGTGTTATAAACCATTTATGTTTATAGTGTTTATAAATACTAAATAGGGGTATCTAGTGTCAATAGTATTTGTTGTAAGGATCTAGGCTATGTAGTATGTTTGGGCAATTGATTTTGTACCATATTTTAAGAACTTTTTGTAATTTTTTGTCCAGACATCAAAACACTGCACATCAGCCAGCTAACCTGAAAGATGTAGTTTGTAGAATTAACACATTTTAACAATTTTCACACTATTAGACACTTTGTTGATGTTGTGACTGACAGCAGCTTCAAATGTTGTACAGTTCAACAGGTAACATCCTTTAGTCCTTCTTTTCAAGCCAGTTTTGTCTGTAATTGGAGTCCTTACAGTAAGTAGAGCAAGTAAAGAAACCATCTTGTTTCAATTATTTTCTAAAAACACGTATAGTGAGACACTAACATCTGGAAATTTTCCTGACACAAGCTGATTTACATTGGTAACAGGCTGAAATATTTCCACTGCGCTAACATTTTTTTAAACTTTTTTTTTATGACCCAATAATATACTGTGAATCGTAGATTACCCACAAAAAATGTTTCCATACTGTTTTTACAATACAGTAGGCACAGAGGTTATTAAGGCTGTTTTCATTTGTTTGTTTATATATATGAGGTTTAATTTTCATAATTATTTAATTATATTATCTATCATATTAATAATTGATCAGGTGTGTTGTTGAAGTTCCATTGATATATTCCTATTGTATTTGATCACTATTTGAGACTGCTGTTAATCCAGGCAGCAGCAATTCATCCACATTCTTCTGTCCTGATGGGGTATTTTGGTGCGCTGATGGACTCCCAGGTGGTTCCATTCAGCAGGTCAACAAGACCTCACAGGAGCCGCTGGCAGCCCGATGCCCTCACAGCCAATTCTCCAGCACGAAGCAAGACAATATTGCAAGAGGCCCCTCACAATGCCGGGCTCCCATTAACAATGAGGGGAGACTAAAGAAGCAATGCAGGACTCCCAATGAGGCAGACTAGGGCAGTGCAGACGTCTGGGCTGGGGATTTAACCAGAGGCCTTGGGCCATCATACCTGACTGCAGGCAACCTGAGACAAAGAGTGGAAGGAGGGGGTGGGGTGGAGAGGTGAATGAATTGAGAGAAAAAAAATCACCCGAAAAACTGTTGCATTTCTGGGCATATCTCGCTGCTTTGGCTGTGTGCAAAATTTCTGCTCAAACATACAAATTCTCTCATCACATCCAGATGTCTTCAGCAGCTACGATGGGAGGTACAATATTTTAGTTATGATTCATGTCAGTTCTTGAGGAACAGGAGAGTGGAGTGGCATGGTTTTTACCTGGACCATGAAGCAACTTTTGTGAAAGTCAAAGCCTTACTGTTCACTCCCACATCCAGACAACAGTCCATCCCACAAGCGTACTTGGTAAAAGCCCATAATACAACTTGAGGCATTGATGGAATACCGGGCACAGACCAAGGGCCCAGGGAGTCAGGGGGCCCTGCCTCAGCCGAAGGCTGTTTGAAATTACTGTTTCTGTCATTTTTATAGTCAAAAGTAGGGATGTCCTTTAATATTGATTATATGCCAATACTGATTCCTTTAATAAATGTATTTGTATGTATACTACAGCTAGAGTGGGGTTGCCGAGCAGTTTGATTCCCCGGATCCTCCAATCTGCATGTAAAAGTGTCCTTGGGCAAGAAATTGAACCCCAAATTGCTGTGTGATTGGTGTGTTTGTGTGTGTTCATCTATTTCTGTTTCGGATGAGCAGCTGGCACCTTAACCTCCTCTTAATGTTGTCGTGATGAGAAAAATAAAAACTGATTTAAAGTAGACATAAGTGGTGGTTTTCTGTTGCGTCCACTGACTTTCCTCTGGCCTCTTTTTGGAAGAAAGCTGTCTCTCTCACTGTGTTTCAGGTCTGATACGCCCTTCTCTGCTCTCCTGGATCACCCACACCTGAACGTAATTTGATCATCAGTGGAGGTGTACATCAACCCCGAGAACGAGCACTTCTTGCCGTTTGGCCACTGAGCTGTTTGTTGAGCGGGTTGCAATTGTTGTTGCGTGTTTTTGATAGCACCTTGGTACAGCTCACGTCCTTTTCTTTACTGACTGGCAGATAGAAGTGCTTGTGCCAGGTAACCTTGCTAATTTTAAGGAAGCCTTGTAGAGGTTCTCCGCTATTTATTTTCCTGCTTTGTTGTTAGTTTGGGAGCTATAAGCATTGTTTTTATGTTTGATTCTGTAGATCAACTGAGCTTTTTATTTTCTAGTGAGTGTGGGATTTATTTACCATTTCGGCCTTAGATACCCTAATGCCTTATTTACTTCCATTTCTGCAATTTTAGTTGGTTTCTCTGTTACTCAATTTTTATGTAAATTAATGTTATTTATTGCTACACTTAGTGTTTCAGCTACCTTTTCTTCATTGCTATAAGAATCACTTTATCAATTTATGCATGCAGCCAACACACTCAACACATTGCTAAATTGATGCAATAGCTTGTTATATCTAATAGTGTAAGAGGATATGATATGAAGTATTTCACTTCAAAATATTTAGATCTTCAGTGACCCAAAACTATAATTACATGGTATGAAGTACAAACAGCATGCAGTATAAAGTAATGACAAAACAATGGCACCCAGCAACATAAAATTCAGAGGTAATGAAAACATTCTGCAAGAAGGCGCCTGATTTATCCTGTTTATCCAAAAGTGAATTTAGACTTAAATGGACCACTTAAATTGTACTCTGGCCTTTCCTTCTAAATTATTGCATTCCTACATTCATTCAAAAAGTGTTATTTAATTAATTCCACTCTTCTAAATACCATTTGTAACAGAAGTAGAGTGTCTATGACTTTTATTTTGAACTTCAGTGGTCACCTCTGTAAGCCAAAGCATGATTATTTAACTCAGAGAAGTGCTATTTATCCATACACACATTCATCAGTCCCTTTGCATGTGGAAAAAAAAACTAGGCAACAAAGAAGGAATGAGACCAATAACACGGCACTTCTCTGGCCTTAGGTAATCCGATGACATCTTGTGAATCCTGCCAAAAGGACCGTTCCAGCTCAAATTTAAAAGAAAATCTAATCAAATGGGAGGGTGCAAGTGTGCGTCTGTTTGCCATTTGCGTTTACGTGTGCATGTGTTTGTGACACGCCGCATAAATATTTACCATCTCTAACCAAATGAGTGTGTTGATGTGGATTTAAAAGCTAACATTACAGCGGATGAAATAATGAGCTTGTGGTTTCAGGGAGCTGGAGGGAAACACGCTTGGACAAATAAGGATGGTGAGTAAATGGGGCCTTTGTTGAGCTCCGTGATACTTCTCACTCTGCACAAACAGAAAAGAGGTGTCGGAGGTGATTAGGAAAACAAATGTCAAGTTCTTTCACTCTGTTATCAGCTCTTTTCAGCACAATCCTGCACAGGTGCATGGTGTGTGTGTTTAACTGAGTGTGTGTGGAAGCACGCCCAACTGAAGCGTGTTTTGCTGCTGATAGCCAGGGTTTGACTTGATGTAACCTTGTTAGGCCGAATCACGCTCTGCCACCTATTAGCCGCTGGCGTTTATTAAAATAATTTATTATATGAAAAGTGAGAGGTGAAGGGTTTTTTGTTTTTTTTCCAACTGACACACCTAAGCTTCCTCAACAAACAGGTTGAGTCAGGAGTTGCATAAAACTGAATATAAAAATCAAATGCACTCTTAAAGAGTTAGTGGGCTGTAAGGAATTTTATGTGGTTGCCTGTGAGAAAATCAAACTCACAACTGGTCTTACCTGCAAGACTTGATGCTCCTCATAAATGGTTAAAAAGTAATAGACAGATGCAGCACAGAAAGTGCTCTGTGAAAGGACCAACAAAACACTGTCAGAACTCTTTAATTTTTCTCTGTCAACACAAGTGCATTTTTAGTTTATGATGTGCTCATTAAAATACTTGCAGTCTCAGGTAACATTTTACAGGGAGGTCACACTCAAGGAGCTCCTCTGCAGATTGTTTTATTGATGAAAGATCTAAACAAAACTGGAAAAAAATATTCATGCACGATTCTCAGTGTAGTGTTAGATTATGTATTGTGAAGAAAAGTAACAGACAATTTTAAATAGTGTTTCATGTCAAGCAAATTTGAATTAAAAAAAAAATGTGTCTGTTCTTCAAAGGAGACATGAATCCACAGCTAAATACAATAAAGGTGTGGCAGAAGATGAGACCTGGGCAGACAGGTAAACACGCCCATGGAATGTAGTAATAGTTTTGAGAGCATATTTTCCCACAACTGTTTTTTTTTTTTTCTTTCATCTTAATACAAACCACATCAACAAACAAACAAAAAAAGCATACTTGGTAAATTAAAGACTGTGCTTTATCTGCTTCTACCTCTTAGATTCAGAAGGTGTTCTAAAGCTCTAAATTGAAACCTCTCAAGTTGTACTTGGTGTGTTAAGTTATATTCATGATGTGCTATTGATGTTCTTGGACACTTACAGCATATCAGTGACCACCACACTACATACTATATGTAATAAAACATGCAAATATACCCTCAGAAGAACATATATCTGTAGAAATATACCATTAACATACTTATCATACCAACAATATACTTTCATTACAGGGAAAAATACATGTTTTTGACTTGAATGCATGCACAAGCAAACGTACTCATGCATGCATGCCCACACGCATACACACACAAGCTGTGTATGAGAGAAACAAAACAAGAAAACAAAGCAAAAAAACAAAATAGCTACAGAGTTGTAAAAAAACATAACTTAACTTAGTATGTCTATAATATGGTATATCTATAAAATTTCAGGGCCTGAAAATGTCCATTAATGATTACCTCTAGAAATTATTTCCAAGTAAGCAAATAACAGGAACCAAAGGTTCTGATATATCCACAGTTTTGTTTTTCTAGAGGGTCTCCATTAGTAGAAATGATGACATTTGGTCGAGGAACAGCTTAAAAGTTGGAGGAAATTTTTCTAAATTAGAAGTATGCATTTCTTGGTAAAATATGTTCCTAATGTTTGTATTGTCTCATACACATGACACCAATGGTTTACTCACCACTGCAAAAAGCAAAGGTGACAATGGAATCCCCTCACTTGTCCCTCTGGATAAAGAAAATAAGTCAGAGGAAGCTCCATTAGTGATATATGCTGCTTTAGGACTTTTATAAATTGATTTGATCCATTCAGTGAAATTAGAGCCCACATTATATCTTTGTAAAACGGAGAAAAGATAATTCCATTCATCCCTGTCAAAAGCCTTCTCCGCATTGTAAGTCTTGTCAATATAAAACACACCTACACTCTGTGTTATATGACTACAAAAACATGTCTGTGGTTGATTTATAGGTATTACCCAACCACAAGTCTAAAATAGAAACCTTATTATCGTCCATGTACATATAGTTTTAACATTAGTCAATGTGAAAAATTTTAACTGAAGTTATCAAGTTCAACCCCTTGACACTGATGAATCAGTTTCACCTTATCTTAGAAATAAAGATAAGTTTGAAATTATGGTCGCAAAGCTAATGTCAACGCCCAATGCTTTGCAAACAATTTTGACATCCTTTGAACTCTGCATTTACCTTGAACGATAGCAGGGATATTATCATTAACAAGAGACTAAGAAAAGCTTGCAGATTTCTTTGAAAAGCACAAGAGGAGAAGAAAACAAGGGGTTGATAAATAACAGGTTGGATTTCCCGTCTGATTTCTCTCTCTTGCTCTTAATCCCCTTCTTTCATATTGTATACTCCTCTGCCGCATCTATCTTTGTAACCATCTGTTTTTCTTTTTTTCCATTCCAGTGTGGACCAGTTGGATTTGTGACACCAAATCGGATCCAAACTTGTACAAAACACGCCACCTGGAATTCGTCAGCAATTCTATGATAAAAGTAAATCTTTCATCTGAGAATTTGGCATACCTTTGCTCGGCTGAGCCAGCATTAGCATGAAGCAGCATGAGACACAACAATGGGGAAAAAAGCAAAACAGCCAAGTTGACTAATACTTGGAGAGACACCACAGTCAAACACGAAAGGGATACACTGCAGATACAATGTGTGTTAAACTATTTTGGGTGAAATAAAAATATTTTTTATTTATTAACATTGCAGTCACATTCGTGCTTTCGTGTTTCCTGTAAAAAAGGGTTATATTATCTTTTTGGTTAATCTGTATGTGTTTTTTTTTAAACAGACGCATTCACTGTAAGCATCCATCTACTTACTGTAGGAAGGTTTACTGTAAAAAACCTTTTCTAAATGTGGTTGCATTGTAATATTTTTGTGCAGAGGATACAAAAAAAGGTCTGAAGCTACAATTAAAGAAATAACGGGATGAAAAACATTGACATCTGTTGCATAAAAACAATCTTTCCCCTTGTACATTATATATATAATTTCCTGCATTGTCTTGTTCTGAATGTTAAATGTTATATCACATGTGAATGGAACTATTTTCCATGATTTTTGATGATGACTTTAAAACAAACACAGCAATATTACTGATTCCATGACTGAAAGGGGCTTATCTTTATGGCTGCTTCTATTTCCCATCTCTCTCTCTCTGTCTCTCTCTGTCTCTCTCTGTCTCTCCCCCACATAGTCGAGTTGTCATGTCAAGTCTGTCGTCACCTCTGGGTTCAGGCCCGGGGTGCTGTGTTGTCTCCAGGTGAGAGGAGAATCCTCCTCATACTCATGTTTATCACTCCAGTGCTGAGGAGCTGCTGAGTGAGGTCGGTGTAAACTGGGATTAACCCATCCCACTTTCTGGTTGACCAGAGGGTCAGGGTGAACTCTCCTGCCTCTCACTCCACTCCCTTGTTTTTACTTCTTTTGTCTGGAGAAGCATCTGAAATATTTAAATCATTTAAAGAGCTTTTCTTTGCTAAGAGGTTCGCCTGTGTTGTCGGGGGACCAGAGCTCATTGGTTGCCTCGTGCAGGAGCAGGTGAAACAGGAGATGTTGGGTGCATGAGTGCTGACACTGGAGGAATTCTCCAGGGATTAATTCCTGAGAAGCCAGAAGATCAAATGCCCTTGTTCTAAATTGTTATATTTTGAGGAAATTCCACAACTTTATAATTTAAAATGAGCAAACTCTAAAAGTGTCATCAGTCAGGAGTTTAGGTTAGCCATTATCGAATCTACAATCAATCAAGTTTTGATTTTATGTCAACAAGCGGGTTTCACTTTCTCAAACATTTGGTACACAGTGCATTGAGATATTCATTTGGAAGACACTTTAGTCTAAAGCATTTCCCCCCCTAATTTCGACTTCAGAGTCTTGCTAAAAGTTATATACATCGAATATTCTTCAAACCACAAACATAAAATTGAGACAAGCTGCTAAAAGTAATTTTCTTCAGCGAATATCTAAAGGAAGTTTTAGATGATAGCCTACATTAAAATTAATTTGAAAACTATAAAACCTTTTGTTGACTGGGGTTCAACTCCCCACTGTGACATATCCCCCAATGTGTCCCTGAGCAAAACACCTAACCCCTAGTTGCTCCAGAGGCGTGTGACCTCTGACACACACACATATATATATATATATATGTATATACAGGAATTGTAAGTTGCTTTGGATAAAAGCATCAGCTGTAAATGCAATCAATTACTATTTTCCCTACAAACTCTGATAAAGGGGAAGTTGTTTCCTGAAAGTTATAATTTATTGAATTGAATGTATTGAAAAAGTGACAGCTGTATATCTACAGAACACATCAGCTGCCAAACAGTGCACTGCTAACAATAACGGTGGAATGCACAATATTTCTTTGCTCTTATGCATTGTAATTGTCCCACTATTCACACTGTAGAGTAATTAACCAAGCAATTAGCAAATATGATGAGGGTGTCAAAGGTCTACCGTGACACTCCAGAGTTCCATGCAGGCACTGTGACCTCCCAGGCAGTGTTTGCTCTCCAGCGCAGCACGAACATGTTTTCACTGTGGATCCTGGGCTCATAAAACACACTAATTAGAAGGCATCCTTCAGCTGAGTGCAGCTATCAGTCAGTCATTTTATGTTTATGGCCATTTTTTTCTGTTGCTATAAAATTCTGTTGCTGAAGTGGTGTATGGCTGACTGAAGGAGCCTGGGGCTGAGATAAGACACCCATAATGTCTCCATATCAGCACTGAGGTTAACGCTGTCTCCATCGGGCTGTAACCCTTGGTCAGGCACCAATTCATGGCTCTGACAGTCACCCACGCATGTTTTCAAAGCCAAGAACTGTGTGCACTTAATGTAGTGCATGTGCTTTGGCAACACAACAGATTCCATCATAACGAATCAAAGCAGTCTTGAGTGACATGTGAGATGCAGTTTTAAAGAAAAGGAAAAGACAGAGAAAGGTGTTCACTTGTCTTTGAGATGGATGTTGCCACGTTAGCATGCAATAACCACAGATAGGAATGCCTTACAAAAGCTCAAGTCAAACATATACTCTACTTAAGGCCTGAGAAAAGATAGACAGTCCGGGTCCCATCCAACAGGCATGCGATGAGTCACAGCAGTTTGGGCAAACAACGCTGTCTGGAGTGACTCACAACCACTGACACATGGGCATCCAGAACACGTGGCTGGGCAACACAACAGGCAAGTCCAGGCAAAGGGCTGCATCCAGCCATTTACACCTGGATAAATCCTCTCATCTATCTCACACCAAACCATTCTCTACACCCAACTGTGAGGGTGTATAAGCACGTGTATGCATCCGTTTTGGTTTCATTGTGCTTTTGCTTTTCCCTGCTGTCTTGCTTTACTGTGTGTCCGGACTGGTCCATCTGAGTTTACCTGCAGCAGGATCCTGCTCCTCCACCCTCTCACATGGCCATATACTCTTGTGATTAACAGCCCAGTACAAACAGCAACAATCCTGCTGTGAGTCACTAAGTCAACAAGAAAGTCGTCTTCTTGTCTTTGGCTCTGAACAGTTCTCATCACATCGTCCTCTTTCCAAGTCTCTCAACGCCTTAGAAAGAGTGGAACAGTTATTTGTGCATATATGAAAAAATATGTATTTAACATGTTAACATAGTTGTATAGGATGTTTTTTGTATTGTTTTGTTTTTGACTCACAGTTTCAAGAGTTTCCAAAAGCAAACACATGCACACATGCACACACACCTGTCACCCTGGCAGTTGTGCAGGCTTTGCATATCCTGTCTTCTTTTTCAAACAGGATTTAAAGATTAATATATCACACTGAACAAAGCAGCCAACTTGCCATCTTGGAGCCAGTGTCTCCAGGTTGATATAAACCAACCTACCGCAATACACCATGTTGTATATTTATTCACTGTATTCCAAGAACTAAAGTACACACAGCTGCAACATGTGGCTCCTAGCAGTCGAGGTATTTGAAAGGTTACTGTACGGCTGGGTCGGTTGGTTAGTTGGTTGGTTTAGGATACTCCCACAGAGTGAAACAGAGCAAGTTTCCTTCAGCTTGACACGGGACATTGTGCCAAATGATCAATGACTCTAGAACAGACAGTGCTCTTGTTTGAATGTCTTTGTCGTATTATGTGTGCCAGTACAGCTGATAATTCATTTGGTGGAATGTGGCAATTCCTGCTGATGCCTCAGAGGAAATAAAAAGAAAACGCCTGACCTACCATCCAACTCTTGTAGGCGTACATCTGACAAACGTTTTTAAAATGTGTGAAGCACAATTAAACCACAACCTGCAAAAGTCCCCTGTTGTCCAATTTTGATAATTAACAAACCTATCATCCAATATTGTTTCATGGCCACTGTTTTCAGTGTCAATATGGCAGCAGCAAGTGATGAGAGAGAAGTCAAGAAAAACTCAGCGCAGCCACAACTGAAAGTTGAACTTGATCGTAGACAAATCACAGGCAGGGTTTTCATATCCTTGCAAACATTCAATAATAGATCATGAACAAAGTTTTTCCTTTTAAGTAGCTTTAAAAGGAATAGCTCAACATTTTTAGCAAACACCTATATGCTGTCTTGTAGAGAGACAGATGAGTAGATTGCAACTACTCTCATATCTGTGCTTTAGCTACAAAGATGGACCCTAGATTAGCCTACCTTAGCATAAAGACTGTAAGCAAAGATAACAGCAAACCTGACTCTGTCCAAAGTTTGAAAATATGCCTACAAGCACCTATAAAGCTCACCAATCTGTCTTTATGCTAAGCTAACCACGCCAAGAGTCCATGTTATTTATGGCTACACTTCTCGAATAATCCTTAACATTTGCAAAACATTAAGTGCATTTCTCAAAACAGGTAGTACAAACAGCACAGCACAGTGGATTACCTGCAAAAGCCCAGTCTATCTCTCAAAAGCAAATCTTTATGTCATTGAACTTGTCAGTGCCATTAGAACGACAAGTCCTTGTGTCTTGTTTATGAACAAGCAAGTAAAAATGTTTAGCCATCTTGTCAATATAACAGTGTACAGAAATTGCCCCAAGCTGCACTTTTTCTGTATGGCATATATCACTTTACTTTAAAGTTATACATTGCAGGAGAGAGGACAGCTATGCTTTAACTGTTCGTACTGTAATTTGTTGACAGAGCATGTCACTGTAATACGGAAAACAATTTTGCTGAAGAGGATAATACACACAAAAGAAGAAAAAGAAAGTCAACAAGATATATTGATAATTGATAATGTAGGAAACAGCAGACAATTGTACATAATCATTTGCATCAGTGTGTCAAGTCATTTGCAATTTGTTCAAAACCATGAAAAAGTGCTTTTATGATGTGCACAAGTGACGAGATGATGTGGAGGTTGAACAATTGGTTTTGAGAATTTCCAATTCTGATTTGAGAAATGCACCAAAGCAGAGAAAAACTGTAAATGAAAATATTCTAAAGTGTCCTGTGGAGTATTTTATGCACATTTTCCCAGTTCAAACATGCAGTATTAATATCCTTGAAAATTTTAAGATTACTCCACTGCTGCACAGCACAAGTTTGTAGTAACTGCCCCACTGGTTAATCAAATGGTAGAGGTGCTTTCACAGTATCAAATAAAACCTTTAATGTCATTATCAAATTAAGCTAAATTAATGGTTAATAAGCTACTGTATAAATTAAACTGTATTTTTATGAACTCCGTATGTAT